AAATCTTTAATTTTGTTTTCTGCCGAGAGAAAGAGAAAGAGAGAGAGAGAGAGAAAGACCATTTATGCAAATCTAGGACAGTTTTTTGTTACTTCTTCGTTCTCTTTTTTTTTTTTCTTCTTCATCGGTCGCCATATCTTGGCTTGGTAGAACAAAAAAAAATGATATATTGAGAATCGACCAATCGCAACAATTAAAATAAAATAAAATAAAAAAAAGAAAGAAAGAAAAATAAACGTGGATATAACGAAACAAAAATAGGAAGGACAAGGATGCGTTAAACGAGTCTTTTTAGAATTATGACGACATTTTAGAATTATAGCGACAGGGTCCGTTTTATTTCTCGTCTTACAACGAATTGTGGCCGTACTTTTGTGCTTCAGGTATCCGCGAAAGAGGCAGGATTGAGATTTAGGTAAAACGAAAGTAAAACGCGAAATAAAATGTACCCTGTCGCTGCCCAAGTCGCGCGATCGCTCGCAATGATTCTGGTTGTGTATTATCGTTATGCTAAGGATAAATCCGTTTTATATACAATTTCGAAGCTATATCAGTCATTGAAGAAGGCAGAGTATTGCTCAGCGTCGTCATCGATACCGGATGGAAAGAAAACCGTTTGACGCGCGGCGAAATAAGAAATACAAAAAGAAGAAGAAAAAAATGAACAGAAAGCTAAAAAAAAAATTGTAAATGAGATAAGAAGAAGATAAAAAACGAGAGAAAATCGAAAGAACGGATTTCATATAGCGATTATTTGATCGTCGTCGGCGATAAAAACATGATACATACAATGTGTTGTACGCGCACACTGTATAATACATTGTAATAATTATTATTATTACTGTTATTATTATCACCATTATCATTACTATTATCATTATTATTATTATTAATTATGATTAATATTATTAATATAATTATCGATGCTATTGCTAATATTATTGTTCGGATAGTTAGGCAAATAGGAAATCTTCGTTAGTGAACAAAGGAAACGAAGAACGATATTATAGATGTATCGAGCCGATATTTTCCATTGAATGTATAACGAAAGTTTACGATGTTAATGTTTTCGATGTCGACTTTTGTCTAGCTTATTACGACATCATTTTCCGAAGTGCTATCTTAAACTGCAATTTTGAATTTCCAAACGTACCAGCCCATTCAGAGTATATATTTTTTCGTTTCCGTTCTACTTTTTTTTTTTCTTTTTTCTTTTTATTAAATCGATGAATACAGTTTCCTTTTATATTTATACGAGAGTGTCTTTCTATTTCGCGTACGGTTTTGTTTCACATTCGATAAGCTAGCTGCGAGTGTTTTGTGATAGAAAATGGAGGAGCTGAGAGACGTATGATAAGGAGAAAGGGGCTCGTAATTAAATAAGACTCATATTTAATTCGACATAGTGCGCATATATGACACCGTCGAACTTAGGAAAATAATTATCGGATATTGTGGCGTGTAGGACTTTGTTCTTTTTTTTTTTTTTTTTTTTTTTTTAACGCGATTGATTACTTGGAGACTATAAAAAGAAACACGTTGATTTTTAGACGTTTCATGTTGAAAGTTATTGATTTTTAAATCACTTTTATAAAACAATTTTATTCTTACATTATCGCATGTCGTTATGTACTAAAGTTAATCTAGTTTAATTTCATCTGGTTTGTGCATTTTGTTTTAAAACATAATAATACGAATAGTTTATTTTTTGCTTAGTATACATTCTTGTTTAAATTTGTAGAAATGTAACCTGTATTATTCGTTACTTGATCAAGGTATTGAAACGTCCGGTTAACGATTTCTTTTTTTTTTTTCTAACAAATTGCGTTTCCACGGTAAAAGTTCGTTTCGAGATTAGAAGGAAAAGTTTGTGTTGTACTTTTACTGAAAAACATTATCGTGCATCGTTATCTGCGCTTACAATTCTCTTCTTTTTTTTTTTTCTTTTTTTCTTTTTATTCGAATCCCACGTGTTATTCACGGGGAGAACTGTCAGTCTAAGGTGTACCAGTTCGCCAATAGTTTTTAAAGCGGCAGCGAATGTTGTATAAATTTCGTGATTAGCGTTTCACATTGTAACGACATTTGCGCCATAGTAACTTAACTCAGTTGTTGCATTTTTAAAAAAGACATACACGCGGCGTAGTCTTTTAGAACATTGTAAAATAATTGATTACATTTGAGTTTGCATACAACGAGTATCGAAGATTTCATTGTGTTTGCCCCGATTGATTAGTAATATAAAGCTGTTTCTGTTAAAAATTGTTTTCCTATCTTGAAAGATTTTCGAGCAAAGAGAGGGGGAGGGGGAGGGGAAATCACCTTTGTTATATTATCTGTTTTATATAGAATTATTGTTTGCCCTTCGAACATTGTTCGTTCTATTTCTCTTATAATTTATCGAGCAAAGAAAAGAAAAAAAAGAAAATTAAATTTCAAGTTCTTTATTGCTACTTGTTTCATATGAATTCATTGTTCGCTCCTCGTGTAAAATTTTCTGTGCAATGTGTTTTGGTCTTTTTTTTACTACATTCGTGCTGACTCGCGGCATTAACGAGAAAAGAAATACGTACGTTGCCGAATATATGTATACCGTGGCATAAATGTCTGAGGAGGTTGGTTGAAAAATAAAATTTCATCGAGGATAGAGGAAAGAATGGAACGAGATAATAATCGAAATGTGTAGATTAGGTTTCTCATGCGAGGAAAGAGAGGCAAACCGAGCGCTGTTGGTGTATGCATGGCACAGTGTTGACAAGTATTTTCTATCAATTGCAACGAATTTTGAAGAATGCGAAACACACGTGAAAGAACACGTTCGGGATAAAGTTAAATTTAACCTATTTTTATATATTAAAAATGAATATACCTATATAAGTAAATACATATATATATATATATAGATATATATAGATATATAATACGTATATACGATTATAAAATCTATCGTGTGTGTGTGTGTTCACGGAGGTAAACGAAAATTGTAAGAGGAAAGTTAATAACCGAAATATATATATATGGGTTGTAACTAAAAAAGGTATAGGAATCAATTAATATATTTTCGTTGTTACTCGGACTTGGACCACGTTCCGTTCTTTTTGTAGATATAAAACGATAGGCTAATCTTATTTTTGCTCACTCTTTCCCTTTCGCATTTGCAAAAAAC